TCATGACCTTGATACTTATGATGAAGATAGTGCGGTGTTGATCTTAAAATAAGTTGAAACTTCTTTGTATATAAATGCTCAACTTTGAATGATATGCTGCTATGGAGCGAAAGATGTAGTCGTTGATTGACAACAATACTTTAGAGTTGGTTGAGCTTTATAGGAATCAGACACTAATTGACTCCAAGTAGAAAATGATGTGAGAATCTTTAAAGCTAGGTTGATGGCTAGAGGTTTCATCCAAGAAAAGGTTATACACTATAACAAAGTTTTTTCACCTATAGTGAAGTATGCTACAATTTGTGTGCTATGTGCACGAGACGTGATATTCAGCCTTGTTATGGACTTGATGAATGTGGTTACAACTTTTTTTTATGTATATTTAGAGTAGTAGATCCACATGACACAAACTATTGACTTTGAGGTCAAAGGCAAGGAGAAGTTGGTTTGTAGATTGCTAAAATCACTATATGGACTGAAGCAAGCTTTTTGTAATTGAAACACGCAATTTGATGAGTTCATGAAGTCACGATAATTTTTTCTATTCATGAATTGAATTTTGAGATATCTTAAGAGTACTGTGAATTATGACATATTGTTCGATAGTTTATTAAAAAATGTCAAATTCTTATTTGACTACGTTGATGTTGATCATAGACAGTATGTAGACAAAAGAGACAAACCACCATATGAGCTACTAAAACCCATAGCCTATAATCTTTCACTCCACTAGTTTGACGGTTTAAGCATTAATTCAAGATCTACCTTCAAATGCTTAGCTTAGTTGAAAATGGAAGCTGGGTATGTGGCAGCAGCAGAAGCCTCAAAGAAAACTCTTTGGTTGCATAGACTTATCATGGAGATTGGATTGACACAAGACGTGGTCAATCTTCATTGAGATAGTCAGAATGCTTTACATTTGGCTCCAAACCAAATCGTGAATAGCAAAATGAAACATATTAACATTACTTATCATTCTATTAAACAAGTAGTGTATGATAAAACAATTGAGCTAGTCAAGATAGACCGTAAATTCAATCCAGTTGATATTTTGACCAAAGTTATTCTTTTGAAGAGTTTAAGATGACACTGTAAAGTAAGATTGACTGTTGTATGTATGAAATATTACTAGAAGTAGTCAAAAGTTAATTATGTTTAGCATAAGTATAACTAAATATAGTTAGTTATAACTAAGTTTATCAAGTTTGACTATGTTTAGTTATTATGTTTATACTTGGCAAAATAATTAGTGAAGTTCTAGAAGATTTGAGTGAACACTTCTATGTCTTGTAAAAAAGTTTTGATTCCAAGGAAAAATACTTTTGATTACATAATGAGTTTTGATTGGTTTGATTAAGTAATGAAAACTTCATTGGTTAGACTAATCTAATTTGACTTAGTGGTAAATGGATGTTTTAGAAATGAGAAAGTATCAAATGGTATGTCGTCACCTCAATCTATGGATTAAAAAACATTTAGAATGTTTATGAGTAAAATGACACGTCGACACATATTGGAAACAAGTACTTACTATGATTTATCTTTGTAAAAATAAATAAATTAAAAAATACCATTTGTTATTATTGTGTTTTTTCATATAATTTTAATAGAGAGGTAAAGAAGAGTCTCTAAAGCAAGTTTGGAAAGTTCATGCGTAGAGACTTGTTTCATCAATAAAATATGTAGTTATTCTATTTTAGATTGTCTATGTCTGTGTGAACTTGAATGATGAATGGAAAAATTGTGTGAAAGTGTGATTGGAACATGAGCATGAAAAGTAATACTAAATTTCTAAATCCATGATGAGTTATTGTAGAGCCATCTCATGTAAATCTAAGTGAGAGTCAGCCTAAAGTTTGCATTACTACTATGCATGTTGTGCATGGAAAGCACATGTAGATTTTGTTAGCATACTATATTAAGTTATCTTGTTATATATTTACTATATGATGACTACAACTTAAGTCTAGTTAAATTTTGTGTAAAGAGTGATATTGTATTGTGTTTTCTTTCTATAAATTCTTGTGAAATCTTTATATAGATTATGAAGTTTTTATTTTCTATGTGATAGCAAGTTTTTAATTAACTCTTTATGTTATTACTCTATATCGTTATGGTTACAACCTAGTTCTAGTTAGCTTTCAAATAAAGAAATTCCTTGTGTTATGTTTTCGTCTAGAACTTTTTGCGTAATATAATATAAATTAAGAGGTTGTTGTTTCATTAGCATGAGTTATGGAGTAGATTGTTGAAGTTAACTTTAGTTAAAAAGTAACTTCATATTTTAGCTATTTACAGTTAGGTTTGTCACAGTTGTTGGATATATGTATGTATGTATGTATATATATATATATATATATATATGCCAAGGCTTCTGCACCTTATTTCTGTTACTTTTCTCTATTGTAATAAACTCTCTAATGAGCTTTACTTGTAAACGTAGTCTTTTGAAGGCTGAATCACGTTACTAATGCGTATATTTGTGTTTTTCTATTTGATTGTCTAGCTATCACTGTCTTGCATATTTTGAACTGACAATACATTACAAATTTATACTCAAAAAATATTTATGTTTATGTAAAATGATTTATTGTTTTTATATGAATTGCATTTTCTTTTTCAATTAAATTATCTATGAAATAAAATGTTATTATTTAATGTTCACGTAGTTTGTTTAATACTAAAAAAACTATTATTCACTAAATATAAATTCAGATTACTTAAATATTAAGAAGATAAATAATTTTTTATTTTGAAATATTTAATATTTAATTTATAGTAATCATTTTTATGGAAACATGTCAAGTGAACAAAAAATTACAAAGCTTACCACCAAAAAATAAGAAACTAATGTATCATAAATTTTGATAACAAGGGTTATAACATAAAAACATCATAAATAGTGTTTTCATGTTTATGATTGATTAAAAAATCAATGGGATCCTGAATTTAGATTTTATAAGTGATTAAGATTAAATCAAAGTAATAAAAGAAGATTCAAAGTATAAATCATAAAGTGAATTAATTTTAATTTTTTACTCTAAAGGAAAATCATGATATTTTGTGATGTGAATGTATCATTTTGATTTCAAAATGCAAAAACTGTGTATTTGTTACATTTTATAAACAAAATGGAATGTGTGGATTGTTTTGGAAAAAAATTAAAAAACTTGTAAGTTTTGCCTCGTATTTTAAAACTTAAACAACCGTTGACTTGTAAGATTGGATTATTCATCATGTTTTATTACTTATCCAATCTTATGGTAGAATTTAAATAATTTATGTAAGAATAATTGATACTATGTATGTATTTGTAGAGATGTTGAATATTGACCATGTTAAAACATGCTGGTCTTCTAATCAATGAAGATTAATAGTTTGAAAACTAAGTATAAGTATTTGCAAGGCATTATCATATCTTTTACTCTTTGGAAATTAATCATATTGAAACAAATTGCAGTGTTAAAAATTAGATTAAAAACTTTTCATTCGATCAAAATTTAACTTATGTTATTGAAGCTTATAGTCGATCAAAAAACTGTAGAATATAACCAGAATTTGGAAAACATATATGTATCATATATTTATGATATGAGTCAATACAAAGAAACAAACTACGAACCAATTTTGTTTCTTGGAATCTTAAATGTTTTTTGATAGTAAAAGCAATATCACTTTGTTTCTTAAATTGAGGTATCAGGTTTTCCAGATGAACGAGACTTAATTTTAATAGATGTATGTTTTTTTAATTTTAATAGAATGTATGTTTTTTTAGCGCCAACAAATCAGGAATGGATGTAAGAGATATGGTAGATAAATTGAAATACATATAATATTAAATGATGCTTATATGTTTTAGTAGATATATGAATGATTTTTCAAAGTCGGTGTAGAAACTATTATTCTTTTGCTTTAGTTTATGAAATAATAATAATTTGTCGTATAAAAGATTTGTGTTGTGTATCAAATAAAAAAAATACTATTATTTGGAAATAGAACCTAAATATGATACATTCTGCTACTACGCTTGATATGATTAACATTGTTACTCTTGACTCAAAAAATCGTCTCGTAGAGATGATAATACATTATGAATGAATGAAATCAGGAGTGAATTGTCGAACTTTGTTAAGTTGAAATTTGTTTATGATGTAATCTATTAAGATAATTGGATCCATAAATATTAAGAAAATTATATTTTCAAATAGAAGAAGGTTTAAAATAAAACTTTCTTCTCATCATTGTAGTAAACATACATAAATTGCATTTATTTGATATTTCGATACAGATATATATTTAGATCACATCAGATGTCAAATCGAATGCGTAGCAATTTCAACTATTAGAACTATATAGTCGCTTGCTTTGAAAAAATGAAAATCACAACACTAGCGAACGAAATGTATGGTGAAACATCCGTGGCAGAAAAAAATATTAAATTTTGTTCAAAGTACAAGTTTTCATGTGCTTCAGGTTAGAAAAATATACTCGAACGGGTTGACATCTTCAATGGACATTGCGAAATAATATCAGTTTTCCCAGAATGATTTCGGATGCAGGGACGCACGTACCAGGCTTGGCATGGGTTGGTACAACTGAGTTGTTGATACGAAAATTGAGTTAGAATAAGGATGAGTGGACGAAGCGTTGCTTTCGTTCGGTGTATCACTTTTCTTTCAACGACGAAATAAAATCAGGAAATGGATTAGTAAATGGGCATATATCGGCATCTGCTCGGAAAACAAAGTTGATCGTTTGAAATAAGTTAGTGAGATCCAGTTTGGCTTATCGTTGGGACCAAAAAGACCACTCTCTCGCGAGTGCATTATGCAGAGGAAGGAGAGAGCTTCGTGATTAGGCAGACCAACTTCAGGGAGCGTGGAAATGCAGGAGCGAAGTATTTGAGAAGTCGCGGGCGCCGATCGGCCTCCACTCGCTGCCTTGTACTTCACGGACGGAGCGCTATTTGGATCCCACTACGTCCGTCCGCCAATGATGGAGCGGGAGTAGGGGGCGGGGCGGGGCGGGGCGGGGCGGGGCGAGGAAATTGGGACGAGGGAGGGAGGCAGACGGAAGGCCGAAGCCGCGGGAGGACGAGCCGACGAACGTTGGGTGGATGATCGTGGGGAGCGGGGGGCGCTCCTTTTCCATCCAATAAATCAAAGCAGGCGTGCCTGCACGATAGCGATCACGAGGAAAAAACGAAGAAGCAGCAACGAGGTGAGAAAGACTCCTCCTCGTCTGCTGCTCGCCTGAAGCGCTTTGTAGGTCGCCTTCTGTTTCAGATCGGTCGCGCAATCGATCTGCAAGTGGAACCAAATTGAGTGTCAGATCGGACCAGCAGAGGGTGCAGATCGAACTCACACGGGTGCAGCTGCAACCCTAGCAGCGAGTTGAGGAAGCTACAGAGAGCGAGCGAGCGAGAGCGAGGCAGGGAGGGAGGAGGAGCAGCAGCAGCGGGAGATGTTGGAGGAATTGAAGGTGTGAGCGGGCGAATTGTAGTTGTAGAGCCGCAGGGAGGAAGAGGAACTGCAGATAGGGATAGTAGGTACAGTCCACAGTCGAGATATGAGCATTTGAAACGGCGAGGTGTGGATGATCTGGCAGCGTGGATTTCATGCTGCTGCCAAGAAGGCATCCTGGAAATTGAGGTTTCTGTGGTTGTGGGTGGTCCAACTGAGTGCCTAACTGGTCCTTGTGGTCCTTGTTGCATATGTTGAAAGGTCGGAAGATCGGACGCGAGATCTGTTATCGCAAGGGCCAATTTGGAAAGCAGATGAGGAGATAGCAGTGCAAGATGATGCTGAGGAGCTGAACTCCAGCTGTTCAAAGTCATATGAGTTTTGAACGAAATGGCGGAGGCGGGAGGGGGATTTGTGACGCGCTCTTTTGAGCGCATGCTCAAGGATGCACCAGGGAAAAAGTACCAGAATCTTCAGCAGGCTCTGAAAGCCTATCTAGGTTAGTAACCAGGACTTGCATTTTAGCTGCTCAGGCGTGATCTGGTCATGTACACGATGTTAGGAATGCACGGAAGCATATACAAATGTGCCCAGGAACTGGCATTTGCATCTGGACTTTATCATCTGGTGTACGTCTCATGTCATCGCATTTTTCATCGAACAATGCGGGAACTTGCGTTTTTTCTGTCCCGTGTGATTGATCAAATTCCCCGCATACTGATCCACTGAAGGACACAGGAGCTGCACATTTTGCCATTTAAAATCATAATGTTTTCTTACAATGTTCACCTTTCTATTGATCAGGAATCCTGAACCCTGTCTCCAATCAAAAAAATAGTCGGCTGTATAGCTCACCAGATGCTCAATTTATTTCATTGAAGCTCCAATTATGTTGAACTACAATATGTTAGTCTGGGCCAGAAGAAGGCAGCCTGAAGGAAATTGACATATCTCTCTCCTTTGTTGCGATCATTATTGTTTCATTTGACTCAATCACCGGTTTTCTAATGAGTACACTCTAAGCGGAATTGAGAAATCTCCGTCCAGCCTTTTGGAGCTTATCATCTAGCATCGTTTGCGTGAAAGAATGGTCTATGTCTTGGTTAGAAGTCAACTGTCCTTTGTTACCTCCGCAAACTTGGTGTGGTTAAATTGTCAAATTCCGCAGTTCGATTTGGTCTTGTTGGGAGCTCATGGAGATATTGGGAATCAGAATGCACGGGTTTAGTTATCAGGAGAATCTCCGTGTGTGCTTTCTTCCTGCAATATTATGCAGGTTTCGTGCTCGGCTGTTCCACATGACCCATGGTAAGCTGCGATGGTTTGTTGTTTCCGATAACGAGACGCTTCGCCTCCAGCTGACATATAAAACTTTTGTTCTTGAGTGTAGACCGTGAGAAAGTCGGGCCGATTCAGCCGCCTCAGCCAGTGCAGACTCTCGCCCCAGTCCAAGAGGATCAAACAGGAACTACTGCGACACCCGATGTGGAGTGAGTGCATGCCTTCATTCTCTCACGTTGTATGAGTTGTCGTCCAAGAAGTAGGCCTAGTCATACAACCTTGATCACAGCAAAACGTTAGAAGTGCAGCACACTTGCATGATTGTGATTACTTCACCTTTAATACTCATAGGAGAGTTGTTTTTATTGTTTACCTTGAATGTTCAGTACGATTTGAAGTCCAGCAAGCTTCACCTTATTATGCATTCGAGAGTGCCGTAGTAAGTTCCTTTTTTTAAATCGATTGAGTTGAACTTCTATCGTACAGATCTCCTCCCCAAGAAAATGGGGGTGGTTCTGCCGTCTCGGCTCCTAGCGGAGCTGAAAGTGATGCCCCTGAAACTAAGCCATCGCAAACCCAACGGAGGCCAAGTACAGGGGAAGGAGCTGCTGCAACTATGGCCGAGGCAGGACACTCATTGGAGGGATCCGAGGCAGATTTAGTGCTTCTGCCTTTGAGACTGGCATTCGAAACGAAGCAACCCAAGCTTGTGGAATCAGCACTCGATTGTCTACATGTAAGATGAGTGTATTTTAATAGAAGAGCATGGTCAATATGAATGCTGGCTTTTGTCAGTAAATCAAGTCCATTCTTTCACAACAATATTCGTTCTCTAATGAATTTCCGTTTGAAAAATCAGAAACTTATCAGCTACGGACATTTAGAGGGTGAAGCCGGTTTGGAAGGCGGAAAGAATGGGCTCACAGTCACTGAGATTTTCAACATGGTTTGTTCTGCTGCAGATAATACTGCTTCTGATAGGTAATTTTGGGGGAATTTCTCTTTAGCTTGTTCGGATAACAAGCTTCTGTCTTGTATAATTACACTTTTAGTTTTTCGGTTATCCAAAAGCGTCCCGAGTATTTGTTTCTACCGAGCACTGTTGGTTCTACAAGGATTCTCTTTAGACACGTATTTGCTCATTTTTTGAAGAAATACTATGGTCTAACATATCTCCATGTATGTTTGTTTGGCTGCAGTGTTGTTTTGCAAGTCATCAAAGTACTTTTGACTGCAGTGGCATCACCATCTTTTCAAGGTAAAGATATCGCCACGTCTTCAACTAAGTTTGTGTTTTACTGATCATTGCCTTGAGATGCTTTCAGTTCCTGAGTGTACCACCCTCTAGCTGTTTAACGATTAATCCGTTCTTGCAGTCCATGGTGAATGTTTGCTCACCTCTATACGGACGTGCTACAACATCGTCGTGAGCAGGTAACAGATGCCAGGACTTAAAAGTTTAATTATGTTGTCAATAGCAAGAAAATGGAATATGTTGACTTAGCTTCAGTTTCAAACAGGGCGTACCGGTGGCAAATCAGATGAATGGTAGTCCCTTTTTAGAAGGTTTATGGCAGTGGGTCCGGAAGAATTCAATTAGAAGTATTTGTAACTCTACCGTTTTATATCGCACCTAGCAGTTTTAGCTTTGAAGTTATGTAGGGCTGTTGTATTTTTTATTGATTTTCCTCTTCCATTTTACAGCAAGAGCGTCGTCAATCAAGCGACAGCAAAAGCCACACTTACACAGATGATCAACATCGTGTTCAAAAGGATGGAGTCTGAGACACAGGTGCCACAATTGACCTGCTCTCATATAGGAAATTACTTCAGTGATGTTTATTGATCACAAAGATTCTTTGTATTTCTGAATGAAGTTGCCTGTCCTCTGCAAACTTGGTGGATACGCGCTTAACACTGGTCATTCGTAGCAGACTCCGGCGATCCCTTCAACCAGTGAGTCTTCTCATCCTGATGCTGATTCTGAGAAAACCACAAGTCAGCCCGTTGAAGACAGTCAACATGCAGAGAAAAGCGGCGAAGAGAATACCTCCCCAGAGAATCCAGTACCTGCTGTTTCGGTGGAGGAACTTCAACATCTCGCAGGGGATGCCGACATAAAGGTAGATTTATAAGTTCAGATTCGTTATGCTACAGTTTAGTGCAATATTCTCACTCAAGACTTCCTGCCATCTCAGTTCTCTTTTTCTTCATCTTTTTCTTGTAGGTTAATAGTCACATTAAATTAGAGTTATTCAAATTCTCAAGTGAGAATCTACACGACTCGTTCATTTTGACGTGCAAGAGATGTTATATATTGACTAGTTATTGAGTACACTGTAAGGTAACAGTCGAAAATGTTTCTGCGTTCCAGTTTTCAGGGCTCATACTATGTGTATTGGCCTTGCTGGCTTTTAGGGTTTGGAGGCCGCTCTCGACAAGGCAGTCCAGTCTGAGGGCGGGGTTAAGACAAATGAGTAAGTCACTCTCCTGTCTGAAGGTGTATTGAGAGCGCTGCACAGATTTTAGAATACATAATGTCACCATTCCAAGTCTGTTCGAATGACTTATTATCTATGTATAACATGTGAACTTACAATATGTACTTTGTGTCTTGTAGAGGTATGGATCTAGAGTCTTTAACTATCGGTGAAAGGGATGCTCTCCTTGTGTTTCGGACCCTTTGCAAGGTAAGCTGAAAGAACACAATGATGTTTTTTAATGGCCGTTTCTTTTCGTGCTTAGTCCCTGTTGAAGCTCGTTGTTGGTGCCAGTTTGCTTCACTCCTTGCTGGCATGTCCTCTTCCCTTGAGTATCTCTTTCACCAGCTTTTTGTGTTCAAATTCTGATTGGCTAATCCCAGCTGTCTTCCTCCGGTGCAGATGTCCATGAAAGAAGGCACGGAGGAAATTATCCCAAAAATGAAGTTGTTGTCCCTTGAGCTGCTTCAGGTGAGAGCTGTTTTCGCGTTTAGTGTCAGACTTATCTGACTTGATTACATGGGTTTGGGAAGCTAAGCATTATAATATTTGAGCTCATAAACTTGGTTTTCGATTGGAAGTCAATTGTTGTACTCTTGAGCTTTCACCGACAGAGTCAAGCTTATCACGTGTCATTTTTTATCCGATGACCGAAGTTGGGGGTGTCATTGTCGTGATCGGATTTGTGCAGAGCTTGCTGGAATCTGTGGGCCATGCTTTTACCGTCAACTTTGCTTTCATCGACTCTGTGAAAGCTTATCTGTGTTATGCTCTTCTCAGAGCATGTGTCTCAGTAGATGCAACTACCTATCAGGTTCGGGCGGCAATTTCCTTGGTGTATAATTTGTACTAGCTACTTTGACCAGTTTGATTCTGCGGGGCTTGATGTAACTTACTTCTTGGGAGGCCGACCAAATCTGCTTCATTCTGATGGTCTAAGGAATGTAACACATACAACTTTAACAGCAGCGGACATTTTCTGACGTTCACTTGTGACGTGCGTTTGCAGTTTGCATGTGGCATCTTCACCACATTGTTGATTCGTTTTAGGGAGAGCCTTAAGGTATCGATGTGTGAAGCCTACATGTTCTCTTACTGCACGCATTAGGCCTGGTCCTCATTCATCATCTACATGACGTAAATTGTAAATTTTTATATCAAGCGCATCAGGTGGCACTGCTTACTCGAGACAGGTCTTGCTCAACATGGTTGACTTAGTCTCGTTGATCCTTTCAGGGGGAGATCGGGATATTTTTTCCTCTGATCGTGTTGCGGTCTCTCGATACGCCTGATACTCCTGTGCATCAGCGAAATACAGTTCTCAAGTAAGTGAGAAGTAGTGGGAAAATTGTGCTGAGTAGATGTGTTCCAGAATGTCTTGCAGTTTTGCTGTTTTGAACCTTTTATGATCGGAATATCGTCTATTCATGATGCACTCACTTCTTAGCTTTCTTGATATTTTCCCAGTTTCTAACAACACTCGACCTCTTTCTTCCTGTGCATGCAATAGGATGCTTGAAAGAATCTGCAAGGAACCTCAGATGCTAGCAGATGTTTTTGTAAATTACGATTGTGACCTGGGAGCTACCAACTTGTTTGAGCGAATGGTGCGTTTTGAGTCCTGCTTATCTCCTCACAGATATAAGTAGGCGTTTTTGCTGGGTTCCAAGTTTTTTCTCTCCGAATTAGAATGTAGGTTGTTTTCAGCAAAAATTTGTAAGATTTGTGTTTAGGATCTCATTGCACACGTGCTTTTCAGATTGTTTAATGAATCTGAATTGATGATAGACAGGCAAGGTTGTTATGTAGTGCTTTTAACTAACTTATTGCTCGGGTACATACAGGTGAATTCTTTGTCAAAGCTTGCACAAGGAACACCAACGCAAGATCCGAACACGGTTGTTTTAGCTCAGAACATTGCGCTGAAAGCTTCATCACTACAGGTGAGATGACCACAACTTTCAGCTAGTAGTGTCAAAGTCTTTTTTGCCAATTTGAGACCGTCAAGTTTTTGAGTTGCTCTCGGTTTTGGAAGAAACAAATCACATTTATTTTTCTCTATAGCGATGTAATACGGCGTGTCTTTCGCCGTGCTGACGTTTCTCGATCATTCTCGTCCAGTGCCTCGTGAGTGTGCTGAAGTCACTCATGGAGTATACCGCAAAGCATCAACAAACTCCTGCAGTTGCAGTTTCCGAAGTTTCATTCACTGACGACCCAAGTCCAGGGGAGACTTCTTATCCTGATAATACTGAATCGGATTGGAAGGAAGCAAAGGTTGAGACTCAAGCTGATCAAGTTGAAAAGGCTAAAGATTTCAAATCGAAAATGGAGGTCGCTATAACCGAGGTAACCTGGGACTTCAGAAATTAGAAATCAGAAATCTTCGTAATCCGAAAAGTTTCTATGGCAACTTCAATAATTGTCATATGCTCGATGTGTGTTATTTGGTGCAAAAGGAGGATGATGCAGTGTGGGGCTGCTTATTTTTGTTTGTGCTTTTTGGCATACATTTTGTTCAGAGCTGATCATATCAGAGATTACTGCTGTAGCCCGTTTTCTAGCCCATTTTTCTTGCGCACAAAATGAATATATATCTTCTAAGGTAAAAGGAAGACGAAAGTCTAATGAAGACTATAGAACAGATCAGAACCAATTTGCAAGATCAAGATTTCAATGCAGAACTGCTTTCAGTCCAGATTCCCATAGCAACCAGTCATACGGGCTTTTGTTCTTACGAGTGTGTAATCTTGGCCTTCTGTACAGTTCAATCAAAAGCCCTCGAAAGGAGTTAACGTTCTCATAGAAAATAAGTTGGTCCCCCGGGAGCCGGCCGCTGTAGCTCAATTTCTACGAACAACGCCGGGATTGGACAAGGTACAAAATTTTATAATTTCTTTGAAATAGACTCTACCCTTTGCTTTAGAGTCTTTATACGTACTTTTGACATTACTATGAATCCTGTGTCCAAATTAGAGATTGACCTTTTGCATCATATTGTCACTTCTAAACGTTGATATTTGCATCTTCAATCAGTAATTGTGACTGCATGTATGGAGGCTGAAGTCAATATGAATCAAATGTGTTGTGTCGGGATTTCTCAACAAACCTTTTTAAGAAGATGACTAAGGGATAGTTTCTCACGAAGAGACATTTGCGATTCTGGTTGTTGCGGTGCAGACTATGATTGGGGACTACCTGGGCCAGCATGAGGAGTTTCAGCTGAGTGTAATGCATGCATACGTCGATGATATGAAATTTGTGAATATGAAGTTTGACCAGGCGATTCGAGAGTTTCTAAAAGGATTCCGACTTCCTGGAGAGGCACAAAAGATTGACCGAATTATGGAGAAGTTTGCGGAGAGGTACGGTTGCATCAGATTGGGTGACTGTTAAGCTCTTCAACCCTACTGCTGAAAAAGTTCTCATATTAGTGAACGATCGATGTCCGACGATCTCTCACGTACCCTGGTGACTGCGGAAACAATTGACCTATCTAGTGGACGTTGTCATTTGCAAGTTATCTGCCAGTGCTGTATTGGTATTTCTGTTCGAAACTTGCTGACGATTTCTGCTATTTGCAGGTACTGTAGAGATAATCCATCTCTATTTACAAATGCAGACACAGCATATATTTTGGCCTACGCAGTCATTATGCTCAACACCGATGCCCACAATCCCATGGTTTGGCCAAAAATGTCTAAAGCTGACTTTGTTCGGATAAATTCATCAGGTGACACAGAAGAACATGCTTCTCAAGAAATGTTAGAAGAGATTTATGACTCAATAGTCAAGGATGAGATCAAGTTGAAGGATGAGAACTCAACGTTGAGCAAGAGCCTCAAGCAAAAGCGAGACGAGGAAGAGAAAAATCGTCTGATCAACATTCTCAATCTGAACTTCGCCAAGTTCAAAGCTGCGACTGACACCAAAACGGAAAGTGAGGAGATTGTGAAGCGCACACAGGCTTTATTCAAAGGAGGTGTAAAGAGGAGTGTGTTTCATAAGGCTAATCACTTGGAAATAGCACGTCCAATGCTAGAGGCTGTGGGGTGGCCTCTTCTGGCTGCTTTCTCGGTCACCATGGAAGACAGTGACAATAAACCTCGGGTAATCTTATGTATGGAGGGGTTCCGGATGGGTATACATCTTACTAAAGTTCTCGGCATGGAGACGATGCGATATGCTTTTCTTACTTCTCTTGTCAGGTATTAACTTTTTCTTTGTGTCATCAAGCTCTGCTTGCCGATGGAAGAAATCCGACTCAACAGTTTAGCGTTTAGATTAGTTACAGCACGGCATTTGTTTATTTTTGTTGAAAGGAATCGCGAAATGACCTGAATTTTGCTTTCGGAGCAGGTTCACCTTTTTACATGCACCAAAGGAGATGCGGAGCAAGAATGTGGAAGCCTTGAGAACCTTACTGGCGTTGTGTCAAGCTGAACCAGATGCTTTGCAAGACACGTGGAATGCCGTTTTAGAATGCGTATCAAGACTGGAATTTATAACCACTTCTCCAAATATAACAGTCACTCTAATGCTAGGCTCGAATCAGATTTCAAGAGATGCTCTTCTTCAGTCTCTTGTAGAGCTTACAGGAAAACCAACAGAGCAGGTGTTTGTGAACAGCGTGAAACTACCCAGCGAAGCTATTGTGGAATTTTTCACAGCGTTGTGTGGTGTTTCTGCTGAAGAATTGAAACAAGTGCCCGCACGAGTTTTTAGTTTGACAAAACTTGTGGAGATCAGCTACTATAACATGGCCCGTATTCGTATGGTGAGTGAACCTCGCTCATCCGTTTGTCTTATTAGTAGTGCAATTGTACATGTTTTGTAATAGATCATAGAGTGGAAGCTGCCGGTTCGCAGTGTATCAGTATACTTTAGTTTTCTAATTGGCAATTACCTCATTTTTGTGGCAGGTATGGGCGAGGATATGGTCTGTATTGTCTGTGCACTTCGTCGCGGCCGGTAGTCACCAAGATGAGAAGATTGCTATGTATGCCATAGACTCATTGAGACAGCTTGGGATCAAGTATCTTGAGCGGGCAGAGCTTGCGAATTTTACGTTTCAAAATGACATTTTGAAACCTTTTGTTATTCTTGTACGGAATAGTAAGAGTGCTACGATACGTGCTCTGATAGTGGATTGCATTGTTCAGGTGGGTTGCCCAAGTATGTACTTATTTGTACTTGTTGAGATTATGGAACTAAAGTATTTTAGATATGTTCGATGAAAGCAGATGTAGCATATATAGAGCTGTTTTCGTTTAGATTTGATTGACCACTGTTATCGTCACGATGTTAGACTCCCATATAAATGTGGAATTTGTCGGAGCATCTACTTTACGATTACCTGAACGTGTTACAGATGATCAAGTCCAAGGTCGGAAGCATCAAATCGGGTTGGAGAAGCGTTTTCATGGTGTTTACCACAGCTGCACATGATGACACGGAATCTATTGCGGACATTGCATTCGAAAACGTTGAACAAGGTAAACGCTGGTGACTAGAACCATCATGCGCTCTTGTACACACATCCCATTCTTGTTTGCAGTAGTTCAGCTTGAGTTGTTATTTACTTCGTTTCGGTTTCCAATATCCTTTTTGTATTCTTTAGCCTCACTAAAAGTAAGTGATTCTGTTGCTAGCAGTTATACTGGAGCACTTTGATCAGGTAGTCGGAGATTGCTTCATGGATTGTGTCAACTGCTTGATTGCATTTGCAAATAACAAGTCGAGTCCCCGGACAAGCTTAAAAGCAATCGCTCTTCTGCGAATCTGTGAAGATCGACTTGCTGAGGTAAATAATTTTCAAGATCAATCTTGCCGTATAAACTTTATATTTAATGTAAATAAAGAGGTAAAAGGAGATCCTTTTGCAATGCGTCCCTGCGGTTTGTGACTGAACGTGTGTCTTATATCCAGGGCCAGATTCCGGGCGGTATCTCTCGACCAATAGACGAATCGGGGAAGGGAGACTTAGAAGTGGCTGAATACTACTGGTTCCCTATGCTTGCTGGTCTTTCTGACCTAACTTCTGATCCACGGGTGGAGGTCCGGAACTGTGCTTTGGAGGTTCTTTTTGATCTACTTAAGGAGAGAGGACACCAGTTTTCGGCTACGTTTTGGGAAAGTGTGTTCCATCGTGTATTGTTTCCAATCTTTGATTATGTAAGGCATGCCGGGAAGGATGGAGAAAAACCTGCTGCTTCTTCAGATCAATGGCTGCGAGAGACTTGCATTCATTCTCTGCAGCTACTGTGCGATTTGTTCTCTAGTTTTTACAAGGTATTTGTTCCATTTTCTGATATTTGCCCAGTTCTAAATGTGCTCAATGTACATGATGGCTAGTTGTACAAGTGTGACTTCGTTTTCTCTCTTCTTCCGTTCTGACAATCGAAAGCATTTGAAACTGTTTCTACATCGAGGTTCATTTGTAACGTCTTCTGCTATACGTTGACCAATTCTTGTTTAATGTGCTGTGTCGAAGCAACCGCTTTAACTTTTGCTTTTAAACGATCAGTTTACTTGTGCTGAAACTCGTCGCCATGTGGACCTGCTCTTCAGGAGGTGTCCTTTTTGCTTCCAGCGTTATTGGGATTGTTGTTGGACTGCGCCACTCGGCCTGACCAAACGTTGGCCTCTATATCTGTCGGTGCTTTGGTGCGCCTCATGGAAGTTGGAGGACATCAATTTGATGACAAGGACTGGACTACACTTTTGGACAGCATAAGGTTCGTGCTCAGAGCTCACCTCCCAGTCACTTTCTGAAGTATATCGAAGGATGCAGACCTTGTCGAAGATCTCTAACTATTAATTTTACCAATTTGCATTGCATAATCCAGAGATGCTTGCTACACTACCCAGCCCGTCGAGCTGTTGAACCCGGAGAATGTGCTTAGCTTTGGACTAGATTACAGATCTGGATCGAAAAAGGTGGGCAATATCACTCCGACATATGGTTTCACCGGCGAACAGACTCCCACTGGAACACCTTCTGAGGCTGGCATGTCTGACGGTGAAAGCTTGGACAATCAAGAAAATGGACAGTACTATTCTGGGACGCCTAACAGCCATAGCAATGGTGACTTAGCTGGCAAGTTCAGTCGAAGATCTCCTTTCGAAGATGTTGAAGGACATAGTTTAGGTCTTGAAGGTAGTACTTATTCTCTTAACTTTTCATCGTTTCCTTCTCCTTCCCGACCTAAGGACATAGCTTTCAAATTTTATCTGCTACTTCAGATTTCATCGTTTGATATCCTGGATTTTCTTGGGAGCATTCAGGACGGTTTCTAGAAGATCGAGGAATGGAGGTGTTATTTGCAAATCTGAGCATTACTAGGACTACTATACTTTTGAAATCAATGTATAGTGTTCGTTGAACATTGAAGATGGCTTTTATTGAGTACTGTTTGCCTCCATTCCAGCTATTGAAGCTGCTGCTATCTACTAATGACGTTCATATGAAACTGGCTTGATTTCACTTGGTAAGGTCCTGAAGCAACGCCACCTCCTGACACTCCGAAGGAGGCAAAAAGTCTTGTCGGAGGCTTTTTTGGTGGACAAGCAGGGAGAAAGTTCATGGGCAATTTCATGGACACTCTGATGCTGAAGAACCTACCCACATTCAAGGGAAAGAATAGAGCAACCGATTCCCCAAATTTAAACTCTTCTCCGCAGGTGAGGACCATACGTAGAGCTGGTTGCTCTATTTTTAGGACGACCTAATGGAACTGACTTTTATACTGATGTTGCCTCTGCTTATGTTGTACGTAGGTTACTGACGTTGAAGATCAGGGGCTTACTGATGGAGAGGAGGAAGGGCCCTTGCTCCACAGTGTGAGATCCAAATGTGTTATCCAACTACTTTTGCTTGGAGCTCTGGATAGTCTTCAGGTAACTTGTTTGCCTCCTATCATGTTGGTTTTCTTTTTCACATTGATCCTTGCGATTTAGAAGGAACATATAGGCGCCTAACCTTCCTAATTATTCATTCACACCTGGACTGCAAGTTGGTCATTACTTTGGTTGATCTCAAAGAAAATGGACCTTTAATTTTCTTGAATATTTCAATGGGATAACATTGTCTGATTGAAGTTGGCGTACTTCATAGAATGTGGTTTGACTCATGAACCATTTGCAGAAAAAGCATTGGGATCGACTGCAACCTTTACACCAAATTGTTATCATGGATATTCTTCTTTCCATGGTGGACTTCGCTGCTTCATACGACTCCGATGCCAACCTACGTTTGAGAATGCAACAAGTTTCCGGCGACAGGTACATCTACAGGTTGGGCCAATTTTGGAATCGTTTGTTTTTGCATGTCTGACAGTCAACACTTTCTGAGGTCGTGGACGCAACTTTAATTTTTTTCTTGTATGTCATTGCAGGCCGCCACCCAACTTATTACGGCAGGAGGTGGAAGGTACTCAATTGTATTTAGCAGTTCTACAGAGGGCCTGTTCGAAAGTCTTGACACCCAACGACCAGGAAACAGAACTTGGCCAGAAAAGCGAGGAGGAGAAGCTTCACGAAGAAGCTGAACGCCGCCTTGTTACGTTTTACGGGCACATTCTAAAGGAGGCAGCTAGCTTGCAACCGGGACCTGGTGAGGCTGTTCAAGCCGATGCTCACCGAGCGTTGTCGTTGCGTTCTCCTGTGACCGTGAAGGTAATATAGTTAGATGCAGGTGGAAATTCTGTATGTTGCCGTGTTCTTCTAGCGGTTGTATCACTTGTGGCTATTATATTCGATTAGTTGGCGAGCAAGATACTGGTCGAACAAGTTTCTCTAGCATATATCTTGGTTAATGATTACTGCTACGCATGATGTTTGTTGAAGCCTGCTGAATGTCTGTTGATAACGAAAGAGCCTCTAATATTTGGTTCTGGCAGGTTTTGGAGTCAATGAGCCAAATGGAGATGACAATGTTCAAGAAGCACCTACCGGAGTTTTATCCTTATTTTACTAAGCTTATCTGCAGCGATCAGGTACGCACCAGAAAAGATGACTTAAGAACGTCGAAAATCTCGTAGAACTGTGAGTCATTGTAGTTGAAGTGCTGAGTTATCATATACAACAGTAAGTTGTGTAGAGTATATTCATTGTAAATTTTATCTAATCAAGTTTTTCTTGTTATGTCATCGTAGATGGACGTCCGCAGGGCTTTGGGAAATCTGTTCAAAGCTCGACTTGTGGTCCTCTTAGCGTAAATCTCTTGTGTTTGCGAACTTGAAGAATCTAGGCTGTGAAGGGGGTATATTCTTCTCAATTCTGTTGTAGGCCAACCCCTTTGTAGATACACACCATCTGAGTTGAAAATTGATTTGTCTCATGCACTTAGTTCCAAAGAGTACTAAAAAGTTTTGCTCCTACTACCAAATTCTTAGTCCTATTGGCACAGTCCTTCTGTACCTCGAGCTCTTGTTGAATCCAGAAATTTGACATTAGGGAATAAAGCAGTAATTCTTCCGTCCCATTCCCTCGTGCACGTGTTTGGCCTCAACTCAGCAATTGGATCCACGTGTCTTTGGCCACGTTACGTATCTGTTCTCGACATGGCGCGTCACATACCTTTGCTCTCAGCCTTTTGTTTTGCAATGCGAAATATACTTTCTGGCCGCTATCTATGTCATGCACGTGATTCTAGTCAACCACGTATTTCCAGCATTCGAAGTTTCCACACTGATTCCGAGGCCATTGGATTCGGCCGTTTGTATCTCTTCGACCCTGTTCCTTACTTGAAAATATCGTTACTCCATCTACTCTAGTACGTCACGTCTCACTGCTCTCCTTGGAAATCTCCATAGTCAGACAACGCTCCGGAGTGGGCAACTTTGTAATGTGTTTTTATGTATTCTTACTACATCTGGTAAGTTGCAGTTACATCTCAGTCTCGTGATTTCAGACGACTTCAAAAAATGTAATCCCGTACTGCACACTGTATCTTGAAGTCGTCGTCAGAAGTTTCAACACCAATCGTGCAAGGGAAAGCCTGTATCGTCCCATCATTGACTTATGTACAACTAATGTTATGAACGTCGGCTGAGCTGAATTGGCGAAAGTTTTATTTCATCTGTCAGTAGGTAGTTAAGAACAACCTATCAATCTAAATAAAAACTAAGCAGTGCTGTGAGATCTTTTTGCCCGATCTCCATCTGCTTGGCGCAAAAGCTGAAGCCTCGTTCATCAACTTCTTTATATTTGATGTGGTGACAGACGCAGATGTTCGGATGGGGGCTTTACGTATGAGTTACGTGTATTTCCGTCCCAAAATTAGGTTGTGGCTGGGACGAGAAGGTCATTCACATGCATTCATCGGTATTTCTTTGTTGGGAATAGTGGGCTACAACTTTTTGCATGTTAGGCTCTCGTGTGGAAACTTTTCACCTCGTCACGTCAAAACTAGTGAGCTTCATGCGCAGATGAAGGGAAAGCATAGAGGCAAGAGAATCCTCCAGTCGGGAATGCTATGGGAATAGTTCACCCTGCCTGTTCTCAGCTGACTCACGCACATGGTCACAAACATGAGCCAACTTGTGCCAGTCGCACAATGTGTGATCGACTGGTACCTTCGTGTACAGGTCTACCTCTGTACCCCCTCTCCAGTCATTGTTTAAATTTCACGTCGGGGCCATCACATGGAACGTACGATCATCTCAGAAAGCGCACCCGATCAGCTCTTGGAAGGGTTCCTCAGTTGCTCTCTGGCATTCTGGCCAGGGTGTTGAGTTATCAAGGGAGGAGATTACTGACAGGAGTTTTGTTTTCACTTGCGGGTGGAAGGCCATGGTTGTAGCGAAGCACACTGATGTCACCGAAAACTTACGGCGTAGATCCACGGTCAGTACGGTGGCAGTGGTGAGCACTGAATCTGCCCGAGTGGCAGTGAGGGAACTCAGACCATGTACATCTTCTCTGGTTCACTTTCTAGAAACAGCATTGGTCACATTGGAACAGTTGAAATGCTGCACTTCGCCATCAGCAAATAAGGAGGAGCTTTTGTACTTGAAGCATGTCTGAACTGTAGAAACTGAACAGCTTCAAGTACTTCTAAAAGAGTACATGGGCCGCGGTCTAAGGTCCGAGGTCAGGAGAGGACTGCCATAGGGCGTGATCTAACTTACACCAGCATTCAATCATGGAGAGAGGCGGGTGCAAGGCCTACCCTCCTTCTACCTAGTTCTCCGAGTGAAGTTATAGACTGTCACAAACAAAGATCTGTCCCTCAATCACGTCCAAAAGCGACAACAGTACCCTTATGGTCCCATGTGGATTCGAGGCATTAACTGTGTGCGTTATCTTCAGCGTTTTTCACGATGTCTTTGTCCGACGGGTGGTATTTTCAAACGTAATTTCTGACAAATTGTTCGGTCCAAAGCTTTAATATCAATAGGGTATCCCAGGACATGTAGTCGATGTGGGGAAGTAGTAGATCTAAAGTGGCCTTTTCACATAGCTAGAGACGCGCTGATTTGTATATTTCATTTAAGTAGAGGATTTCCAAGCTAGTCAAGAGATAGGCGGCTTGGGCTAATAGCCCTCTCACCCTTTCCTTGTGTTATCTTTCTATGTGTTCCTAGCTTCTCGCCATGTTGGGTGTTGACGATGTACTTACAAGAGCTCGTGAGGAAGTTGCTAAGCCTGTGCAGCTGACGAAAGTTGAGGTACGTCCATCTCCATGTTAACGTTCCTGTCGGTGGTAGAAGCAGAGAGCAGTAAGAGATAAAACCTCGACCTTCATTTCGATGTCAAGTTATAATATCGTTCGAGCTATGGATTACTCAAGAGCAGGGCTTGCGCTTAATGTAAACATCAGTTGCGTGAGGAACCAGCGAAGAGCATGGAATCGCGCAAGATTCTTCCTCTTCGGGTTGAAAGTTCCAATGATGACCGAAAAGCAGGGGCACCGCCACGAAGAGGAAGTAAGCTGTTCCGTGAGCTCGGAACTTGGCACAACGACAACCTCGGCAGCGTCGCGAAACAAACCGAACCGAGTGCACATGAGCAGAAAGTTGCGGGATCCGACATTTGTCATCCATCTACCACAGCATCCCTCGATTCGATATGGCATTGGCATTTTGACGACCGTGAGAAGGCTCACAATATTGGTTCGATTATTCAGCAGCAGCAGCATGACGGGCCAGCCAGCCAGCGGGCCAGCGGGCCAGCGGCAGTCCAGCCAGGGCTACTATTACTACTACTACTTCTACAACAAGTCCAAACACTCAGCAGCTCAACGATGGAATGATTCATCTTCACACGCGCGAGAAAGTAGACACGCCATTGGAGTGAATAATCCATACATCCGTCAATCAATCACTCTAGCCCGAGTGAGTGAGTGATTGCTGCCGGATACTTCTGGATGCCCAGGAATAGACACTATTTGTGAGAAGAAGATTGGACGATGTTCAACGCGAGAGGAAACATTTAAGAACTGATTCCAAGACTGCCGAGTCACATGCGCACGGACGTAGACCCCAAAAGGGTTTCCATCATCCTCCTCCTTGCGTGTGAGCGACTGACTGGTTTGAATGCAAGGACATTGCCTAATCAGGGAGAGAAAATTTCTGTCTTTCTGTGTTATGACGCTCTCTCTCAAATTGACTCTACCGGACTCCAAAGCTGCTGTACTGTGGGTACTTGAGGGAGTTGATTCGACCCACACATCGTGCCATATTATGTCCAAGTACCTCGTTCCCTGACTCATGCCTTTCGAACGTGTAAAGTCATATTTCAAGATTTGTGGATCAGGGAAAAGCAACGGAACCTTGAATCACACTCTCACATTTCCCGGAATCCCTGAGAAGCTGTCCTCGCACCGTTCCCTTACAGAAAACATGCTCCTTGCCATCAAAGCGCTTTGAGGGGGGGAGGGAAAGGATTGATTGCATCATCTGGGTTGGGAAGCTATGGACGAAAATGTGTTGGATCTAGTCCACCATTGAAAACGACAGACAAATACGACAGACAAACAAACAGAGGCTATTGGTGATGATGACCATGAGCAGCAACAGCGGCAACAGCTGCAGCTGGAACTCTTTACGATAATAAGAGAAATTCCTGGTCGGGTGGATGAATGTTGTGCGTATATATGTGTCGATGGATTCGACATCTGCAGGGTAGGTTGTTGTCATCATTGTTTACCAATCTGCATGATTCCCTGCGGCCCCCTCGCTTCATAGCCATTTCCAGCTCTGGATGTCATACACCATACGATGATGATTGGATTATCGTTTGCTTTGCGCAGCGGCTCGCTCCTTTTTCTTCTCATTCTGGTGGCCGAAACAGATGTTCTTGATTTGCTTACGTGATCCATGACGACCAATCCAACTTGATGCCCCGGTTCAGATCCCGTAACCGAGCAGCAAAAACGCTTTACAAGTTGCCAATAATCTATTTGCAGAAAGATGGTGGATCGGAAAAAGGGAGTTGTCCAGGAAGGAGAAAAAAGAGATTGCTGGACTCTGGTCCTCTAGTCTAGTCTACGGATTTGTTGTTTACCTGATAATTACCTTCATGTCAACACAGAACAAAATCCCATGGGACGGAGCACGAAATAATAATCCGACTTTGGAACAGAATCATCCGTTGCACGTAGCAGAATTTTCTCGGAGACGTAGCGCGAGGATGGTTTGTCTCCTCTTTAGGATCCAAGTCCTTAAAATATTAAGGGTGATTGTACTTATTCTCATCGTGAGGATTTGTCAATGATTTCATCTATTAACATTATGCAGCTAATATCGCCCTCGTTTTTCATAATTTATTCATGTACACATCGTCCCCGCGTAAAGTCAATGTAAACTCCCGACTAGGTGTCAACTGACCCATAAAATAATATTCTCCACCGTTTGGAATCTGTTAAAGAAGCCCTGGCTCGCAAATACCACAAAAGCATGTGGGGCCTCCATGATGGTCATCATTTCGGAGATTATTATAGTCTCCTCCCCCTTTAGTTTTTCCTCCCATTCTTTCTTGCTTTCTTTCTTTCTCTCTTTCCTTCCTTCTTCCCTTCCTTACGAGATACATCTTGCTTCCACTCGCATTCCCAGTCGGAACCGAGCTGAGCTGGTCTTCAGAGTGTTGATATCATATTCGATGCAGTTCCATGGCCTGGCCCATGAGATCCTCGCTGCGAGGCGAGGGCACGTCTAGTTGCAAGATGGTGTGGTGTGCTCATGTTGCCAGAGTTAGGTATGAGTACTTTGGCTTTCGGGGCTTTGCATATTCGTCCTTGTATCCCACGTTATCATCATACTCATCAACTAAGCTCATAGATCATCCCCAATGATTTTCCATATGACCATATGACCACGACTTGACCCAACATCTCATCTCAGTCTCCTGCTCTCGTCTAGCGCTGCAGCATCCATATCGTAGATTAGGCCTCCCCCTAGAGCCACGACATACGTACGCAGAGTAGTCGAATCTACGAGAAATTCTCCCGAAGCATGCATACGGAAACACATCGGTCCGATCCGAGACCCATTGACTTTCCCGAGCAAGGAGTCTTTCACAGCCGGCCATGACCAAGAGGAATAATCAGATACCCTTCTCGACTCCGAGGAACTCGAGCTCCCGCTGAGAGGAGACTTGTCAAGCACCTGGAATCAGATTTCATCTCATTGTGGTTGCGAAGATTTCTCGATTCGGCTCCGAAGGAATTGCGCACCTTTCCTTGTTATCCATGCACGACATGAGGCCTCAAACTATTATATTCACGTGATGGTGTGCTCTCCTTTCCACCAGCTTCGTTGGAATAAAATGTTTCCCGAGAAATCATTTGGAGTTACATAATTCAAATTTAGCAGGAAACAAACCTCCCATCTCACAAGCATCCTCCAAGTCAAATGAATGTGCTGTTACAAAGTCGCAGATTTTCTGGAAGATTGCGATGTGATTTCCTCCTGCCCAGAGGGTGCGCGTGATTGAGTGAAGCAAGAACTCTATGTTTGGATGATTTGAGAGAGCTGGTACTATTGTTACAAAAACTCGATATCTGTTATATTCGCCCGTCCATCGTCACATGAACAATTCGTTGATTTAGGGCTCGTTCCGCAGATGTCATTCTCTCCATGCCTTACGATTGTTGTTGAAATTGTGCATGAGGTTACCATCCTCTTCGTTATTGCACCTCACATACCGTTTGTGTAAATAGTTTGTGTCTCCATGAGAAGCACAGCGTTCCATGAAGCTTGCACCAACATTCCTTTCTACTTTTTAGAGAATGCTCATTAGACCGTGTCAATGCTGGAGCAACGTCAAATGTTTTAGATTACAAGTTAGAAATTTGTTGCTTCTGCGTGTAGCCAAAATGAAGTGAATGAAGTCAAAACATCTCAAGGACCTCTTGGTAACTACCAACTGCTAATGTCGAAAGTGACTAGCATCAGAAGCTGACTCGTATATGACATGCGCAACCTCGAGAAGTCTATCCTAGAATCGAACAATCAAAGCAGGAACCATTATTGTTGACACACTAGTTTTTGTCAAACGATGATTTACAGGAGACAAAAGGAAATTTGGTGGCGACCAATTCTATAGATATGAGTAATCGTGATGAATGCATATCTCGAAGTCATTTGATTCGGACTTCAGCGCGTTGGGATTTGTCCAGCTCGTGCCGGGGGTCGGACACTGAAGTATGAAAGATCGAGGAATGTTGGTGAAATTGAACATGCAAAAGTGCAGCCCTAATTGTGGAGAAGAAGGCAAGCCAAGCAAGAAACCACTTACTGCGGGGCCGATCTTTGGCTCGAGTCGTCCATGGCAGCGGGGAGCAATTGTGTCGACCTCTCCCCCGTGAGAGGAAAGACGTGGACGGTCTCGAGTTTCTTTCATCGCCCCGCCTTTTAGCGAGCGATGGATGGATGGATGGATGGCTGGGGCAGCAGCTGCCATCGTCGTGTCCGTGTTCTATCTGCTCATTCGGCAATCGAGGGAGGGAATCAGAACTTGGGCGAGCCGCAGCAGCAACAACAACAGGTCGGGAGAAACACCCACACGCACGCAAGAATCATGACTCGCCGGTCCCTGCTCGGGGTCCTTTTGTGTTCCCTCTTTTGAAAGCTGGCTGACAATTTTCTTCGTGTGCGGCTCGTTCTGGCGATGCTTTTGGCCACAGAGAAAAGCGACGAGGGAGCCCATCGCCTCCCAAAAGCGAGACGCAAAAGCCTGTTCTCGTCACGCTTTGCTCCGTTGACGTCGACGCGACCAAAATCCAAAAGGCGTGACACCATTTCGTGCCTCGCGCACGAAATCAAACTCGTCCAACCTTTCCTGCGCTCAACACCAACACAACAGCATTCGGTGCATCAACCCTCCGCAGCCATAGCTTTCCAATTCCCGATTTTCTTTCCCGGTCGATGGTTTGTCAATTCCTCTTCGAATTTCGATACAGAATTGCGTGCAGGACGCAGCTTGCAGCACTGTCAGGGCTCGTGTTCAAGTCCTTGCATGATTCCCACGCAATTTGGAGTCAATTTGTCGTGTCAAATCTTCTGTACCTTCTGTATTCTTGCTTTGGAGTTCAGAGTCATAGATGTCGATTTTGATATCTTACAAATGGACTGTACAGAAATTTACCAAAGTATGTAATTCTGATATTCATTCTTTATTTTTCTCAAGTATATTAGCTGATGTTTCACACCAAAGAACAATCAAACCTATTGACAAGACATCTCGTAAATTAAAGTCATCATGTAAATTATAGACAATCTAGTTCTCATAATCATCGTCTTGTATGGTATACTTTTTGATAAGCATATTTTTGATACTATTATATTATAAGAGCTGGCCCCTGTTTCCCAGTAGGTTCAATTCTCCGTGTACCGCTTTAGTCCATTTGGGACCTATTTTCCTTTCATCTACTGTTATTTAGATTAGAAGTTTAGATGATTAACCTTGTTGGATACTCTCAAGTATAGATGTGATTTGTCCCGAGTTAAGATGAATACCAAATGAATTGACTTGGATGAGTCAAAGCATTTTGAAAATAATTCCCGGATATTTTACCTTCGTGGATACAAAACATTGTAAACAAGTCCAAACTGCCTGGTGAATTAAATAAACAGTGGTGTTTAGCCCCAAATAGTGTGAACCATATAAATAGCACTCACTTGTCCAGGTTCCACACAAAATTGAATGAGGAGTGTATTGAAGTTGTGTACGTTCACACACGTTCCTCAAGAGTACACGGCTGTCTTTGAGGCGATAGGCAAGGTATTAAAAGGTGACTGTAATAGTATTAAATATGAACACCTTGAAGCCATGAATCTCCACTCCATGGTTATTTCATATTTTTTTGGAATATTTTATTGGAATATTATTTCCATTAGTTTCCGTTTGGTTCAATTCTTGTACGGTCGTCGCATCCTTTTTCTACTCACTTGACCCATCTACTCAAAAGGCTCAAGGTTGCTCTCATCAAAGATGTTTTAGAACATAGATTGCCATCGGACGGCTAATGCTTTTAGCGTGCAGTTTTGGGATGAGTACCCCAGAAGGTTGATTCTTATCGTTTTATTTTTATGAGCGATTAATGTCTTATACTTCTTGACGTTGAAACAAAATTTACGAAATTGTAGTGTTGGCAGTAGAAGTGTGACGCATGTGATCGATCATGGTAAGGGCTCTGCATGATTTCGAATACCAAAAAAATGAATATTTAAGAAAAAATTCTCAACACCAATAATAAATGATGCAGTGTCTCTTTTTAATTCACTAGCTGAGGAATTCTTACATGAGCTTGAACACAAGAACATGCATAAACCAATCATGGGATGTTGAGCATAGAATAACAAGCGAATTCAATGTTCAGAAGTTGTAGACCGCACAGTTGATTGTGAACAAACGAGCATTGCAAATGGCGTTGCTGTAGGATATGGTTGAGTATCTTGTACATATACGTAGGAATTGGTGTACTGCAGTGTCAAAAGAAAATGGAGGTGGAGAAGTGTTGCATATGGAGCAGTGAAGCAGTCGTCGATATGCGAGTGCAGCGAACACCATGTCACACATGAACTTCTGATGTGAGCATGAACAAAGTGGACACAGAGTGAGAAAACACGATATCACACGAGAAGTAAGAATCTCGAGCCTGACGAGAATTGCAAACAACGCGCATCATTTTCAGAGTTCAGGCTTGGCCCCCAAGTTCATGAGATTCCCAGTCAAATACCGAGCCAGCCAGCCAGCATGCTTGCTTGATCCCAGATCTGATAGCCCGCGATGTGGCCCCTTGGGCAGGTTGGAGGAAGAATTGGAATAAAGAGAATTGGAGGAGCCTTGAGGAAGATTTGGGGTTGGGCTCGCCTCGTCGTCCTTGTACTTGACGTGAGTCCGATTTCTTCACGGGGCGGGCACTTTGTTATCACGTCGTGTATGAGGCGAATCAGATCTCTCTCTCTCTCTCTATATGTGAGCAGAATTAGCGTGACGAGATTGGAATTTAGGTGGCGATTCTCGAAGATTTCTCACGCTCGCTCGCTCGTTCGTCATGATGGTGATGGAGGAGGAGCACGGGTATGGTGGATGGAGGAGAACTCGAGTGGTCGAGGCCTTTATGAGCCGATGAAAGATCGAGAGGTGTCGGGACTGGGGGCGGCGGGACTCGGGGCGTTTCTCAGACACCACCACCACCCTCATACATACATCCACACATGCCTCGCACCGCCTTCCACCACCATTCCATTTCCTTTGATCATTGCTCGCTCGCTCGCTCTTCGCTATATCATGTTTCCAACCCCGACAGCTTTTGACTCTTCCTTTCCAACTCTCTCTCTCTCTCTCCCTCTCTCTGATTCTGATTTTATTCCAAATGGGTTGTTGTCCCATGATCGACTTTCTTTCTCTCTCTCTCTCTCCCTGAGAGATCATGGCAGCCTGCCACCTGAGAAGAGATTGGATGTGCATGTGCATCTATCCTCAAAATTAGTGCAGTTTCCAGACCATTGCACGTACATTGTATGTGGCACTTGCTCCAAATTCAGTGTGAGAATCAACTCTCTCTTTCTCTCATACACACGCGGACAAACAGCTGCTGACCAGAATAATATTCGATGCTGGTTAGCCAGTGACGAGAGGGTCATGGACGACTCGCAATCGTGGCGTATCTGAAAAGACAGAATGATTAAGGAGTTTGTGATCCACGACGAGAACTAGCTCCGCTGCATCCTGATCTGATTCATGTCCTCGACCCGAGCACTGCAGCAGCATGCATGTGACTGCGCTAGCGCCATCTCGTATGGCGGATAAACCATCCACAGCTAGAGCGTGGGCGTTCTAGAATGCGACACTGACCTACCGCGAGCCAAATGTCATCGATCTTAAAGCCAAGTGGGTGAGCGAAAACCATCGTCCATGTGATTACGCTCATACTCGCACTGGATTGAGGGCTCGGGAAGGCGCCCTGCGTTGTTGTTCTGTCAGAGCCCGTAATGATCATCGGCATCATCATGGGTCCGCGAAAGCCTGCGAGCGAGCTTCGATCGCCACAAGCGCATCTTGAGCGAGCGATTTGAAGAGCATGTTGGTCACTTTTCTTTTCCCCCGTAGGTGCATGCACTCGCATCCGGTCCCGTGTCCGAGTCTGCTTTCTTTACCATTACTCAGCTTCACCCTCCTCGCCCTCGAGAGCTCGAGAGCTCGCTCGCGCACAGCTTTTCTGCTTGTGCTCAGAGGGCTCTGGCGAGAGCGACGAGATGTCACGAGCATGAGAATATGGTCCAGCGCAGCGTAGGCGAAGGGACCATGCATTGCTAGGCTCTGATTCGCGACGACTGACCGCGGTCGCAGTCTGATCACCTTTTGCTCCGCGCTCGCTCGCTCGCTCGCTCGCCCACTGGTCAGGGTTCTGTTATCGTTTGACACCGGTCGCGAGCTTGCTCATCATCCATCCCATCCATCGCGTGCGTCTGAATGTCCGCTTGTTTTTTGCGGGGGCCGTCGCCCATCGCATCGCCCGTCTGTAGCGAAGCAGGGGCCAGGGGGCTGCTGCTGCTGCGGGGCTGACGCCTCCTCGTTGACTTTGCGCTTTGCCATTTGCTGCTCCGAGGGATTCAGGCCCGCGAGGACAGAATCAACGACGCGAACCGCTTTCTTGTTGCAGAGAGAAAGAGAAACGTACTGCGATCTCAAGAAGAGGAGGGACGAGATGCAAGAGATGCGCCAGCTATTTCTTTTGTTTATCTTCAGATCTTGTCCGGGAAGGGGAAGGGGAAGGGGAAGGGAAGCGGAGGGAGAGGGAGGGGGGGCTCTCTTTTCGATTGAGTTCTTTTCTTTTCGTTTCGGTGGCGCCAGGAGATCAGAGATGGCACGACGCACCACACCAACAAACGACGCGAGGGGCTGCTGCTGCTGCTGCTGCTAATCTAACCCACACATGTGCTCCGCTTTTTCCAAGGCTCCGCACGCACCGTGACAACCGTCTTCAACTTCCTGAATACATGAACTTCGATCGACAAAAACAAAGCGCATTTTATTGCGCGCATGATGATGATGAGCTCTACGGCGCTGGGCTGTTCGCCTCGACGGAGCGACGCTCCATGATCTCCACCCGAGCACCAGCACCAGCACCAGCACCGATCTCGCGTGTGCGAGAACGAAGAAAGTTGACGTCATTGGCATCTGAGTTTCCCCGCGTAGCTCGAGCCGAGCCGAGCCGAGCCGAGATTAGAAGGAAGAGAGAGAGAGAGAGAGAGAGAGAGAGGTGCATCACACCGTAGGCATGCCCGCGGCCAAGTAGTCCGTAGGGACAGCAGCGGGCGAGGGGAGGGGGGGCAAGTGGGGGATATTTTCGGGGCTGCTCGAAAAGGCGAGCAGATCCGAGCCCGGAAATTGGGAGAAAAGGGGCTGTTGTCCCTGGCAATGTGGCCGGCGTCGACTTGTACCGCAGCGATGGCAGGCTCGGCTCGAAAGAACAACATTGCGGACGAACAAGTTGTCCATGCGAGCGCGGCCGAGAATCCCCGACCTTTTGGAAGCAAAAGAAACTCGAAAGCGGAAGGGGCTAGGCTGGGCAATCAATGTCCTACCGTCAAGCTAGCGCTAGCGCTAGCCCTGCCTCCGCGCAGGGCTAGGGTGCTAAGTAACTGTAGTCGAGTTAAGGCCCGCAGGCCAGCACCACCGCTGGCCCCACTTGTCGCCAACCTCAACCAGAACCAAACAAAGGCCCGCCCGAAAGGAGGAACGTACAGAATGTAAGAAAGAAAGAAGGCCTTGCCCCTGCCTTACCCCCTGCCCCCTCCCTCGGTCAGAATCCGAAGGTGTCTTCGGGTAGTGCACCTGAGTAAAAGCGCGGACGGTCCGTCGGGTCGGGTCTGACCACCGGGTACAGAGGGGTAGACCCTGTGAGGCTGCCGGTAAGCGAGTGCAGTACAGGAGGAGGAGGAGGAGAAGCTAGCGCAGCAATTTCGTCGTATAAGAACAGTGCGGATTAAGCACATATGATCAGCAGCAGATCCAGTGGGTGGGGGCTGCAATCTGTGGAAGTTTTGGCCCTTAATCACACCGTTCCAAACGGCTGACACTGAATATGCGGTGCACAGACCTTTGCTATAATTGAGGCTTCCAGTTTATAGCCGGGTAGGGCTAGAGCT